CACCACCACCACCACCACCACCACCACCACCACCACCACCACCACCACCACCACCACCACCACCTCTGCGTAGTTTGAATGGAGGAGGGCTGAAGAATTCGTCTGCACCTTCAGAGGATTGAAGTGGATGGTTATTTTGGTGTGCAAATATCGACCCCAGTACACCAAACATTAACAGCGTGGTGCGCGTCTCGAGTTGTTGTTTGCATTGCTGGAGTAGGGACCAAGCTATCCTGGTGTAGGCACCACGGATTCAGTAGTTATTTCAATTATTAAATTGCGTGATCGGCACAGGGACAGAACGGCCCAAAAAACAAGCGCAGAAAAGGCGGTTTCCTTGGAGGCGCTTTTGACAGAGCAATTCTTTTAATGGAGCCTGCTTGCAATCAGGACAAAGCAATCTTATCCCATAAAGCCTGAATTATCAATGACAAAATCTGCCCCTGTACACACAAAATATGTAGACATATTAAATTGTTGAAATTACGTCTTTCAAGTTAAAAAATAAAACCGCAGATCTGCCACATTCACCATCACACCATCTTATGCATTTTGGAGTTCAGGCGAGGTACGTTTAGCGGCCATAAAAATGGGTAATTTGGCTTTTGTTTGGCAAGACATGGGATTCTCAGGCTAAACTCAAGAGCTACTGTTTTTATTCTACAAACTTGCTCCAAATGAGACAAATCACATTATTGGTGCAGACCCATTACTCCAATCGATAGAGGACAATTTTCCCATTGGATGATGCAAGCTAACATTACTTGAAGCTGTTTATTCCATAACCCAATCTTACTATTACAGATTACCACCGTTTCCCATTTTTTCAAGTAAAAATCTTGACGTCTGGTTTGACGACCCAGAAAGTTTGGATTAGCCAGGGTGGATATTTCTGTCTGGGTGGCTTCTACTGCAGTCCTGTGTCACGAAATTGTCTCCATTAGTACCGTAACCAGTCACGATCTTCCCACTTGAAGAGTTAGTGAGCCAAACGAACCAATCATGTTGCTCGATGTTTTTTTACTAGACAACTTTCAATCGTAAATGCAACGCTACAAAATTACCATTTTTAGCAGAGCTGTTTGCAAGACTTTGCCAGATTTAAAATAATTGACACACGAACCCGTAAGAGAACTCGGTTTCAAACAGTTGATGATCTGAGAGACACCAAGAGCTTGGAAGGACAATCAAGCCTAGTTATCTATCGAATTTGTGTACGTGAAATGTCCTTGAAACAAAAATACGTTGACTTGAGTTTCGTTTGTTTATTCAAACACACAGTGGCAGATTCGAAACCATATCCTCTACTTACATTGGCGCTTTTTGCGCTGCCATGGCATCGGCCATTTGTCAGCTGATTGTGCCTGCTAGCAGCGCGATGCACAAAAGCGGCCAATGGTATTTGCGAGTTGGTTTTTCGACGCGAGCTCATGTCTGCACATGTGTGCATGTGATGTGCCCGCTCGGCTTGCTCGTGACTATGCACAATCGACTCCATAAGTCATAATGTCAACAAGGTCATCTGCAAGTAAACTGCAGTCTTTTTGCGTTTGCTAACCAAAATCACAAAGTCCAGACGCCCAATGAAGAGCAGGCCTTTGGAAGAGCTAAACACAACTTAGTCTACAAATGCACTCTCAAAGAAATCAACGTGCACCCTCTAGGTGATATCTACAGTCAGTGAAAAAGGCTAACTTAACTACAGCTTCAAACAGGAAACATTTGTAGATTTTGACAATGTTTGGCACTCAAATAAAGGGAAATAGGGCGGCGACTTTCAGGAATCTAAATGTTATTTTGATAATTTATGCGCGGTCAAGATGTACTATTCCTTTATGCGATTCCCTCTGCCTGCTTGTTTACTTGGTTACATAGAGTCCTATCAGTTAGAGACTAATCACAGCACGATTGTAGGCGTTTTTGGCTAGCATCTGTGCCCACAGTGTTAACATGTGATAGTCACACTGCCCATGTCAATGTATTGCATTGGGGCTTGACCTGCAGACATGTTTGCACAGCATGTCAGTCAACTTCACTCGTTTCTATATGCCACTCATGCTGAGTAAACTCCCCAGGTTCTGGCACTTGATACTTTCCTCATAGTAGCGGGAAAACTCGGCATTTCGTCCATCAGTCGGATGTCTTGGTCTGCAGTACCTCTGATGTTAATGCTGCATTTGTCCAGGTGACGCGGAGTTCTCTGAAAGCTTCATTGTTCCTTGATGCTTATAGAGGAATCACCAAAAATCCACACACTTACTTCTACCATCTCCAAAGCAGTTAATCAAGCAAGCTCAGAAAGTGTTTGACTGGCATCCCAGCACGTCTCATCGACAATGAGACCAATCAATATTTCGGTCAAACAACAGCTGTGTTGAATGAGTGTGCAGAAAAATTTTTTATTAAACCTACTATCAGAACCACGGTTACCCAAAAAAATTTTAATAAAAAAATTATAAAAGCCATGTAATAATGACTGGACGTATCAAAACAGAGGCTGCGCTAATGCAATGTTTAATATGGCCTGTTAAAATTAAGGCCATTCGTTGAATTTGCGTGGAGCGGATGTCCTGTCAACTAGAATGAGTTGATTTCCTCGCCTTGGCAATTCGCAGACAACCTCAGTTACGTGCTAAAGTGTAAAACGTTCTCTATAACTACCACGTCGATTTCAAAGATATTTGAAAGTAATTGGCCTTTGCGGAGAAATTCTAGTGGTGGTTAAGCGTAAACTGTCTCGCCCAAAGGACGCTTACAGCGTCGCAAAACTGAGCATGTCCGTTCAGTTGTCGTTCTTTACTCGGACGCAGTGATAACGCGCATCTCCTCTAGCTGCGACACTGGAATAGCCCCAACGCCTCACCCTAATGTCAGCATCTCTCTTGACAGAAGCCATCCATTTAATGTGAGCCACCGTGAATATCATGATTAGTTAATGAGTAGCAGGCTAGGTGTTTAAAAAAATCTGGTTTGCTTAATGCAGCTAGGAAGTCAACAAGGACATTGAAGACCTGCCGGGAGGTTATGCATCCCCTGAAAATCCTTAGAGGACCAATCTCACTTCTGACCTTGAACGACACTTCAATCATGAGATTATAATCATTGTATTACTTATCAAGATAAATCTGATAACTATTGGTTATAATTAACGGAGTCTTGTGTGTGTAATGATGGTTTGTTTTCGTTTTCGTACGTGTTGCGACTCAGTGAGCAGCCGGCGTTACTCTGTCGGTACTCAACAGTCTCCACCAGTAATACGGTTCAATCACGTGGTCTGTACGACCGAAAGTTGACAACCAATGGCACATGATGCCTACCTCATACGCTAAACCAAACCTTTGCAAACAGTGAGTCAAGAAAAAAAATTTGCCATCAGCTCTGGGAGATCGGTCGTTTCGTGATGAGCAGAATGACCAAATGCCATTTCGATCTCAGCTTCACTTTCACAATAAAATGGACTCTCGTGCTAGCTTGAAGCGATCTGTATCGGATTACGATGAGAAGCCAGGTTGCTGGTCAGGGTTGTTAAAATTTTGTCCAATAATTTCTAACATATTTATTACGTTGCACATGGCATAGTTGCGGAAATGTTTCAGCACAATTCTTCGCAATACGCAGCAATGGTCTTTAGTCCGAAGCATAAACCGTAAATCAACCTCAAAGTGCTCCATCCTCTGGATTTTTGCGTTAACCGGCTTACTGAGTTGCGCATAGGTTCAGCGGCGTTTCCTTGATCATTTCGACGATCTTACCGCATCCTTGTCTGATTTAAAGTCACGCTAATTGGCTGCTTTTCGTAGGCTTAAGGAGCAGACACTTGGGTTGGGGTGTTAGTAAGTCTACTGCATAGTGAAAGAAGCAAGTTTTTTCAACGATTTGAAAATTAATGCGGCCAGTTGCTCGATGGACAATCAGCTCACAAAGTAATGCCCTCAGCGGTTTGATGTCCAAAAAATGTGACTGACAGATGGTTGCACTTTACGGAGTAAAAAAATTAAACTTTTGATTATGAGAATGCCTTCATTCCAACTGTTCCCACATAAAATCAGTTGATTTTTTTGCATCGCTCATGCACTTGCGAATCTTCCAGAAAGTTACCTTACAGATCATGAAATTATATCACGTGCAAGTGTACTTTTAGCGCGAAGCGTAAATGCACATTGAAACAAACTGTGAGTGATTCTACTTTGAAGCACACCGCCTTACTAAAACCCGCTTCCTTGCTAGTTTCTGAAGGAAAAGTTCATTTTAAACAAACAGCTTTTTTTGCGGTCTCTAGTGCTCCATAACTGTGGCGAAGTTTGGCTAAGCAGGGACGTTTTTGGGGAAAACAATTCCTACTTTGTCGCGTCTTTAGTCAACTTGAGACTGGTCGCGACATTAGCAGTGGTTTGCATGAACAAATAGCCTGTTGATTTCAAGGTCAGTCGATAAAGGGAGTTTTCTTGGGTACATGCTTTGCACTGTCTGCGCATTTCTACACATCAAGACAACGACATTTCTTAAATTCAGAACTCGGAATCTGTGGCAGACAAAGCGGTAGATTTGATGGGGTAAACCAATCGTCTAATTTTACACTGAACATTCTACATCTGTGCATTTTAGAAACGTACTTCTGTTGCCATACTCATAGACATTTCATGCTAGGCAGTTCAACTAGATTTACATCGACATTAAGACAGGCTAATTACATAAACGGCACAGAACGTAAAGCCGATCACGTGGTTCATTTCAGAAAATCTTGCCAGTTGTGGTTAAGAAGTTACATAAAACGAAGGCGTTACTAAATTGATTGTACTTTTAGACTAAACATGAAAGCACAGGCCTAAGCTAGTTGGTTGCCCGCCTAAAGCACTAGAATGCGGTGAAGCGTGACGGCTCTGGATTGATTTCAATTAAACAGGTCTGTGGTTGTTTTCAACGATTCAAGTGGAAGCAAGTGGCTAGCGGATTGCATCATCAACTGTTAGCTCAGACTAGCTAACGCTCCAGAGTGACTTGTCTATTCTAATGGTCAAGTTGATGGGGAACTAAAGCGCCAGGCATTCAAGCACTCTGCATTTTCGTAAAACGATTGCGTTCTTGTAAGAAAGGCAAGAACGGTGATGTGCTTTGGGGACACACTTTTCATGTTGATGTTGCAGTTACTTTGTAGACTCAATCTTCCCGCACAACCAGTTATAGGGCCTCTTCATGCACTGATTGATTTGCCACAATCCGACCACACTTTTACCAAATCACCACCATCATAAGGATTTTTCCGGAAAAAATCAGATTGAAATTCTTGTAATAGCTCTTCAATTTTAAGCAGCCTTTTTACTTCATCTGTAGCCAGGGCTTCGGCTTTGCTTCCATCAAATTCAAAAGGTATGCAAGAGCAAAATCGTGCAATATAGAGTGAAATTTACTGGCATGAAATATATTAAATCCATTCTGACACTTTTGTCCAACGATTCTCACCACAAAATTCACATGCCTCTTTCCTTCACTGGAACAGGCAGGTCAAATCTGTTAAAAAAAAATACCCGCTTTTTTCACCCAATTTGGTGATTGTTCCGAGTTTCAACCTTTAGGCAATTTTCTCTCAAACAGCAGGAGAAAACGACCTCAACTTTGGCAAAAGTTTTTCAAGACCGACCATTTAAGAGAGCCTAAATTGCCTTCGTTTCAATATACCCAAATGAGGTCCGTGTTGAAAAAGAGAGCTTTGCGTATACGCTAGCGCCTATAACCCGAGGCGTTGAATCACATCAATTTGAAGTGAGATTAAGCAGCAAGATTAAGGCCAACGTTTTCAGAACAAAAGTAAATTCTCTTTACGGAAAGAAATGATTTCCCAATAATTCATTTTAAATGCAATCGGCGCGAAACTGAATCGTGTGGAATTACTCAAGCGTGTTTCCTAAGATTTCGACTCTACGAAGCTGTTGTTATTCTTGTCACATAAACTAAACCTATAAAGGCTATTTCTACACCGATCAGATTTAGCTCAATATGAACCATCCCCAGGTTGACCGAGTCCGTTCAAACTCTTGGTTGTCCCATGAACTGTCACTGAAATTGACGGCCTAACTACAACAGGTTTGCGTTCAAGAAGAGATATGTAGCAGCACGCTATATTTCTGCACAATGTTTGCCTTTTTTCCATTCAAAACTGCCGCGATCACTCACTTCCTCCGGATAAAAGTCGAATCACACTGAACACGAGTTGCTAATTTATCGATTTTCTGTAAGACTTCAATTGATTTATCTAGTCGGCATTCACACTCTAATTGGCTACTAGGCCTAAATTGGTAACTGACCTGCTTGTTCACTAATTACGACTGCCATGCTCTACTGATTGGCCCGCTATTTTGCCATTTTAGGACTTTATCTGGTTGGAATTTGAAAACCTAAAAATTTAGATTGGTGCCACTCTGGCTAACAGGACAAGTGGTTTTTGAACTTGGTCAATCTGAGAAAAAAACTCAAGTTTTTACTGCTAAGTCAAAGAAGTGA